ATCAATCTACAGCAGCTCCAATTCCTGATCCGACCTAGACTGCTACAGCACCAATTACAGCTATAGAGGGTCATACAGCTCAGATCTCAGGATCAGATGATGATGCCAACCAGTTCCAGCTCGCTCCTCGTACCTCAGCGTCTGGCTCATCCGCTGCAGCCCCGTCGACCGACCCTTAGGTTTTGGTGTTTGACGCCAAAGGGGGAGAGGGATCAAGTATGATAGATTCAGGGGGAGCGATGTTTTCAGGGGGAGCTTAGTTATCTTATTAGCTTATATATTACATTTGGAGTTTTTATGTGTGATATACTATTATGCATTCATCGTGTGTTTACTTTCATGCATTGAACTATATATATGTGATAGTGATATCTACGTGACCGTGATATATGACATGTGTGCTCTCTACTTTGAATTATTTATATGTCATATCACTTGTGTTATGCTCATTTGTCTTTGCTTCCGCATTTTACTCCGATGCAAATGAGCTTCATTACTTGTACTCATGCTTATTTCATATCTTTTAAGTACATCATGTTGGCTTGGTTCATATAAGCTTGACTAACACCTTTGTTCTTATTGACAAAAGCTTATATGACCCTAGCATGTTAAAAAACCTCAACTCTTTCACATACTCGAGGTGGTATTGTCATCAATCACCAAAAAGGGGGAGATTGAAAACATCTAGGCCCCTAGTTGGGCTTCGGTGATTAATGACAATACAAGATTACTGTGACTAACGTGTGTTTTGTAGAGGCAATTAAGTTAGGTCATGGTAATGGAGATCGATTGGGCAATCATGGTGGTCATGCCCCTATGATGGAAATCATTTCGGTTTTCAAAGGATAGACGACAAGGTTAAGGATGACTAGTTCTAAGTGTCGATTAGAGTTGGAGAGACACTTAGAGTAGTTTAGGACTTTGTTTTTTTCCTTTGGCCATACTATTAAGGGGGGTATGGACGGGTAGCTTGACCTAGGTGAGTCTAGTGAGTTAGGTGTGGTGCACACTTGTTAAAACTAGCGCTAGGTAGCTCCTACATATGCCGAAGATCCATTGGAGCAAACTTCATTCACGTATGATCGAGAGTTGGAAGTGAATGGGGGGTCAAATGCTAACCAGACGCTGGGTTTGGTGTGACCGGATGCTGGCACAGAGTCCGGTCAGTTCATTTGACCGAGGTGAAATTTGTTCGGTGCGACCGGACGCTGAGGACCAGCGTCCGGTCGTTTCTAGTAAGGTTCCAGAGAGGAAAAATCGTGACCGAACACGTCCGATTAGTGCTGACCGGACGCTGGCAGCGTCCGGTCACACTGTAAACACTGGAGTTCGGGGTGTACTGACCAGAGCGTCCGGTCACCCCGCAGAGGCACATAACGGTTCGTTTTTCAGCCCTTGTTATAAATAGAAGCTCCACTCGTGTGTGGAGTTACTTTTGCTCATTCCAACAGCTGAAACACACCTTAGAGAGTGCCAAGAAGAGCAAGGTCCTAGTGAGGTGATTGAGATTTGAGAATCCCAAAGAGAGCCCTCATTAGTGAGATCAAGAGTAGCAAAGTGTGCATCCACCCTTCTCCCTAGGCTTGTCATGGTCAAGTGAGAGTTCATGCTTGTTACTCTTGGTGATCGCCATCACCAAGATGGCTTGGTGGTGATTGGAGAGCTTGGTGATCATCCGGAGAGCTTGTGGATGACCCAACTCAAGTTATGAGCGGTTGTGGGTGATTCACCGCGACGGAGTGTCGAAGAATCAACCCGTAGAGAGCACTTGATCCTTCCACGGATCAAGAGGGAGTTACACCCTTGCACGGGTGCTCCAACGAGGACTAGTGAGGGGTGGCAACTCTCCGATACCTCGGCAAAACATCATCGCGTTCCTCCTTCTCTATTTACTTTGAGTATTTCCTATGAGTAATTACTTTGAGTATTAACATTGAGCAATTCAATTCTTGTCTTTACAATTCATAGAATTGCCATGCTAGAGTAGGATTGGAACTTAGGTTGCAAGTCATTTGTGCGGTAGAACAACTAAAACACTTCTTAGGCACAAGGGGTTAATTGGGCTAACCGTAGAATTTAATTATTGCAAAGAAATTTAGAATTAGCCCAATTCACCCCCCCCCCCTCCTCTTGGGCATCTTGATCCTTTCAGCTCGAAAACGAGTGGAACCCGCATCCCCTCAGGCGAGAGTGCAGGATACTCCAGTGAGCCGAGGCGAATCGTATCGCCCGAGCCCGCCACGGTGGGGGTGGCGGAGAAATGGGCCATCCGATGACCAAAAAGTGTTGAACGTACAACGTCTTCCCCACGGACGGCGCCAACTGTCGGTACAGAAAGTGACCAACTAGTGAATATTTGTAGTTTTGCTGTACGTTGTGATCGGAGGTGGCCTAGCACTCAATGACACAGGATATATACTGGTTCAGGCTACGTGCCCTACGTCTAGTCTGGGTCGGTCGGAGACTTTATTCCTGAGCCCAGGTGCTCGAAGTCTGTAGTGGGGTTACAAACGAGAAGGAGAAATGAGGGGTGTACGAGAGGCCCGGTCGGGTCCGACTAGAAGGGCCGAGGGCGACCGGAACTCTGCTATGAGCTAGGTGTTCAAGTGTGTGCTTGAGGGGTTGCGAGCTATCGATCTAGTGAATCTAAGCCCGAAGAAGATCGTCCTCCTCCGTTTGGAGGGAGCGCATCCCCTTTTATAGAAAGAAGGGAATGGCTTTACAGGTGAGAGGGAGAGAGTACGGATGTTATGAAATCTTGTTGTCCACGCCGATGAGTAGTGGATAATGGTAGGCGCCTACAACATTGTTGATGCACTGTAGCATGTCAAGTGCACGTGGGAGGTTGCGGTGGCTTCTTTAGAAAGGGTGGACATCGGTACCTGCAAAATACTGTTGGTATGTGAGGAGCCCCACCACGTGTACCAGGTATGGTGGATCCTGACGTCCCCTATCGATGCCTAGAGTCATGGGGGCTTTTTGCCGTATGGGAGCCCAACGGCGCCCACAATACTGTAGACACAAATGTCGGCGCCTACAATACTGCTTGTGTCAGGGCGGTCGTGGAGCACTGTTTCCGCAGGTGTACAGGGTATGGTCCCAGTATCGTGGTTTGACTTAGTGCGCTGTCTCCTCCGTTCGCCCCTGGCCCCTTCTGAGCGGGCCTCCCCGGTCGGATGGCTCCAGTCGGCCCTAGCCGCGCCAATCGGAGAAGAGCGGTACGCAGACTTCCTACGGGTCCTGGTCGGATTCGCGGGGTCGAAGTAGGAGGCGGCGTTTTTGGGCCAGGCCTTTCGATCGGAGGGACCACCTGGAGGCGGTCGGTGCCCGAAGCGAGCGCTCCGGTCGGAGAGGTGGGCCGAAGAAGTTGATGAGCGGGTGTTTGCCCTTTCGGGTAGGCCTCCCGGTCGGCGACCGGACTGTCCTACCGGCCCGTTGTTTTCTAGACTTTTGGGCCGGCCCATGAACTGCATGTTGCTTTTCTGGGCCGAGCCCTGGCGTGGAAGCCGGTCCTCGAGGGACCCCAGGTTTATGAACCCGACAACAGCTATCATGGACCTACGGTGAACCACTTAATAAAAAGTTTATGACTTAGAAATAAATTTTTAGAATTGATGGACCTAAAACCCTCCCTAAGTTAATGAACATGTGGTGCACTTAACTTTTTTTTACAATATCTGAGTCTCATGATATCCACCGAGGACGTCCTCACTCCTCAGCGGTGCTATTAAATCGCTAGCTGAGCTGGAGGCTTGAAATCAATAAACGAAAGAAAAAAAATTGATAGCGCAGGTGTGTGCAAGACATAGACATAGGGGTGTTTAGTTACCCAAAATTCAAACTTTAGCACTATAAAAAAGAAGATTTTCCGTCACATCAAATTTACGGTACATGCATAGAGTACTAAATGTTGACGAAATCAAAAACTAATTGCACAGTTTGGTTGTACTTTGCGAGACGAACGTTTTAAGCCTAATTAGTCAACGATTGGATAATTATTACCAAATACAAACGAAATGCTACAGTGCGCTACAGTAATTTCAGCAACTAAACGAGTCGATAGCTGAGAGAGGATGCTTCTGGGGCTATGTGCAAGACCAGCGAGTCAGCCTGTTCGGTTGGCTGGTTCGTATCGTTACTGGTTCGTGAAGAAGTACTGCTTGCTAGTTTGTGTGAGAGAAAAATACTGTTCCGACTGAAAATTTATGATCGTATACTATCGTTTCTCTCCAGCCGAACAGGCTGTGTCTCACCGCGCTATTCTCTCCTCTGTGTAACCAACTCACCTCAGCTACCCATTTCTCCACCGTTTGGGACGCCCAGGTAGTAATGGATACGTTGAATCTGTCTCATAGAATTCCCATAGTAACGGATATTATGTTTAATCAGTCCATATAATTCCTAAAATACCGTATCCGCCATTAAATACCGCACTTATATACCGCACTCGCCGCAATTTTTGGATATTTCCTCGATGAGGGAGACAATCGGAGGAAGTAATTTCGCCATTATATATATATGGTAATGATATGTCGATGAGGGGACAAATTGGAGGAAGTAATTTTGCCATTATATATGGTAATGATATGACTCTGACATCGTCTGGGTAGGTAGTGTTGATGTCCGGACGTCCGATGGATACCGATCTATCGGATGGTGCCGCGGACACTAAGCCCCGCACGTCTACGTGACGGAGGCCCACGCTTCTCTCCTGTTTCTCTTCTGTGCTCGTTTCTCCCGCGCCGCGCGCGTCCAGACGAGCTAGGAGCATGCGCGGCGCGAGGAAAACGAGCACAGAAGAGAAACGGGGAGCAGCATGGGACTCTGTCAGTAGAGTAGTGGAGGCTTGCGTCCGCAGCACCGTCGGATGAATCCATATGCATCGGACATCCGGGCACCTGCGCTACCCTCATATATACCGCACTCGCCGCAACATCTCATCGCAACCACGACACCCCGTCGAATCGCGCCTGGAGAACACCATCCGACGCGACATCGACATGGACGGTGGCTTCGGCGCTCGATGCTACCATATCGATGACTCCACCGCCGCCACCGGTATCCTCTCGAGGCGGCGCAAGTTGAGGGTTAAGCGCGAGCCCTACCCCCTCGACTACAACTACGACAACTTCTCCGACTTCCGCTCCCTTGCCGGCGGCAGCCGCCTCGACTCCGACGATGACGGCTGGCTGGCGTACGAGGCCCCGCTCTTGCGAGGCAAGCGCCGCTGCACGGCCGTCTCGTCGTCCGCCGCCGCCGTCAACCCGGTGCGCCACGGCCACGTTTCCCAGGCAGCAAAGAGGAGAGGGTAGATCCGGTTGTCTCGAGCGGGCCCATGGCCTCTGCCACCGCTACGCCGCCCAACGCGTGTCCGGCCGCTGGTACGGTGCCTCCGCCTCCGGTCTCTGCCCCAGCCTCCACGGCCCCGGCACCCAGCGTGCCGCCGAACGTGGGGCGAGCAGCCCCGCCGGTCACCGGCGTCGTGCCCAGGACGTCGTCGTCTTATTTGCGTTTGATGAGTCCGCGGCGCTCTACGCTACTTGGGTCTGTGCGTCCATCATGCGGCGTTTTGTCGATGGAGGGCCTCACTGGAAGATCTGCATCCGCTCCAAAGGCGGCGCCTTTGGGGAAGGACGCGACTTGGGAGAAGTACGGTCGGGACATGACGGCTGAGGCCGGCAAGATGGACCCAGTGATCGGACGCGACGACGAGATCGACCGCGTCGTCTGCATCCTCTGCCGCCGGACCAAGAACAGCGCCATGCTCGTCGGCGCTCCCGGGGTCGGCAAGACGGCCATCGCCGAGGGCCTGGCGCAGCGCATCGCGGCAGGGGCGGTCCCTGCCCCGCTCGTTGGGGCGCGTGTCGTGGAGATCGACCTCGGCGCGATTGTTGCCAGGACCCAGTACCGCGGCATGTTCGAGGAGCGCATGAAGAAGGTGATCCAGCAGGCGGAGGCTGCTAACGGCAAAGATCGTGCTGTTCATCGACGAGGTGCATATGCTACTTGGCGCTGGGCGGACCAAGGGTGGATCAATGGATGGTGCCAATCTGCTGAAGCCTGCTCTGGCTCGTGGCCGCATCCGCTGCATTGGCGCCACGACGTTCGATGAGCACCGTGAGTATGTTGAGAAGGATGCTGCGTTTGAACGACGGTTCCAGAAGGTGCACGTGCAGGAGCCAAGCGTCCTGGCGACAATTGACATTCTTCAGGGCCTAAAAAGAAATATGAAGAGCACCATGGCGCTGCAATCCAGGACGCGGCCATAGTAGCAGCTGCCCAGCTTGCCAATCGGTACATTACAGGTATGCTCAGTTCTACCACTTACCCACTACTGAATTTGGCATATTTATGTTTCTTTATAAAATTGACAAACCACAAACAGAATTTCAAGATGCAATATAATGGACAACCCCCAAAAATAATTTCTATCTATAAACATAATGGCATATTTAAGTTCTATATCACTTGCTTGCCCACTATTTGGAATTAATTTATAAGTTCTGAGTAGATATGATTGTGATAAAATGGACAAAACCACAAAAAAGAATTTCCCTTACTATTGGGGCCTATCTTTTAGAGCTCTAGCTCAATAATTCTTTGACCTGGTTATCCCTGGATCCAATGGTGTTTGGGTTGGCCATTATGTTTCTAATTTAGACCAAAAATAGAGGACCACTCTAAAGCTGAGTCAGAAGTCAGAACACAATTTTGCAGTTTATGCCAAAAAAATCAACATGTAAAACTATATTGTTACAGTTTAATATTGATTAATGGTTGCCCAAGAAAATAGGCTTTCTCTCTAGCCGGGTGTGACGCCATAATAGAAGTTCAGACAGGTTAATTATCACCGTTGAAATTAAGTTGATCTCAAACTCGTACAGAGTAGCGTCTTATTTCTTACAATGGGTTATGATAACCAATTAACCATATAGTGATCACCACAAAACTTGTTTTCATCTCTAATTTCGGTTATATCTGCCATTTTGCTTCAGCTCTTGCGTAATTGAATTTGACTGATCACATGTACATTTGTTTACAAGATACCTTGTTGCTGGAAATGGATATTCTATTAAACAATATGGGATTGTGAGTGTGTTAAAAAAATCGTTGGACTAAAAGTGAAAACCAATTTTCTTTTAACTTGATGTGACATTGGGATAATCTTCCATAGGGCATACAGTGATGGTTGTAATACGGTTCTATGTCATATACAGATATATAATACTATACACAATTCATTGGTATCATTACATATGTTGATGGGTTTTCTTGAAGGTCGCCAATTTCCTGATAAGGCCATTGATCTTATTGATGAAGCATGTGCCACTGCAAGGATGCAAAGAGATAACATATTGAAAGGAAGTACAACACATCTTCTCCCTGAAAATGTGGCGAATGAACCTATTGTTTCACCAGGCCAAATCGCAGAGGTATGGCACTTGAATATCGTACGTGTTCTGTATTATACAGCCGTATCAAGCAATTAACAACTATTTACAGCTTGTGCATTTCTTTTAAATTTTCTGTGCTATATATAATCAGTCTAATCTCTAGTATTGCATGCCTTGCTGGGGAATTGTTTATTTTTCATTTCAGGTAGAAATAAGGTTGATATATGGAATGGAGTGAGGAATCTACGAAAATACATTAGGATAGAGAGAATGTAGAATTGACAAGATATTTAAATGTGGCTAATTTTCCGTGTGTCTTGTCTTAGCTTCACATTTTTAATTTCTCATGGCCTCTAAAATATAAGTTTTACTTGTTACTTTTAGCCATAAGATCAGTTTAACACTCACTGGTCAAGCTTTTCCTCTGTTCTTTTTGGAGTGTAACTCTAGGACTTGCTTACAAAATAATGATGGTTAGAGAAATGTCTAAAGATGTACTGGCACATGATCATGCGAGGTGTAGAAGGAATCAAATTTGCAGTGTTTGTTTTATGTGTGGGTTATATGTTTATTATGACTTCACAGTTTGTATGCATTAGACTGAACTTGTCTCTGCAACTTGATACAACTGCATATGTTTTTGTTATTGGCAAAAGTATATGGTAGATTAACTTCAATCTGTATGTGGGAGTAATTTTGTGCCCACTGATTGACAAAATATATACTTCTTCAGATTCCAAATGTAGGTCGTTCTAGGATAGGATTCCTGAAAACTTACATAACTTGAGCTATCAATATATGAAACATTATATAGATTAACAACACATGGTTGATATCATTTGCCTCATATATATATATATATATATATATATATATATATATATATATATATATATATATATATATATATATATATATATATATATATATTGTATATTTGAAACAGTATATTTTTACAAAAAAAATCTAGTGTCATAACGGAGACCGTGATGAAGTCCTAATAAATGACTTATATTTGGATTAAGAGGAAGTAGTGTATTAACTTGTCAATACACTTGACCAGGTTGTGAGTCGATGGACTGGCATTCCTGTCAATACACTTGACCAGGATGAGAAGGAAAGGTTAATGCACCTGGCAGATAGATTGCGCGAGCGAGTTGTTGGCCAGGACGCAGCAGTTAATTCAGTAGCACAAGCTGTGCTAAGGTCAAGGGCTGGTCTGGATCAACCTGGCCAACCAATAGGCTCTTTTCTTTTCTTGGGATCAACTGGTGTTGGGAAGACAGAACTTGCAAAGGCTCTTGCGGAACAGCTGTTTGACAGTGAGAAGATGTTGGTGCGGTTTGACATGTCTGAATTTGTTGGCACTCACTCGGTGCTACGTCTCATTGGGGCACCTCCCAGGTTTTATATCATTTCATTATCACTCCACTTTCAGCTATAAGTCTTACTCGTTTCATGCTTGACCTTTATTTATACTCACTTTTTGTCGCTTGAAGCTGTCATGGACATCAGGATGGAGGACAGCTAACCGAGAAAGTCAGGCAACAGCCATACAGTGTAATTCTCTTCGATGAGATTGAGAAGGCCGATCCAGCAGTGTTTAATGTTTTTCTTCAGCTTCTTGATGATGGTTTGTTGACTGATGGTAAAGGCAGAACTGTTGATTTTAAAAATACCATCATCATTATGACTTCAAATCTTGGAGCTGAGTACCTAATGGAAGCAATATCTGGTGAAAAAACAATGGAGGCTGCACGTGACCTTGTCATTAAGCAGGTTTGCAATCCCTTGTCCTGAATGTTAAATCAATAAGTTATTTCAATTGATGACATTATTGGTCCCTGCAGGCACAGAAACATTTCAGACCTGAGTTCTTGAACAGGCTGAGCGAGCTTGTGGTATTTGAGCCACTATCCCAAGATAAAAGGAGGGAGGTTGCTAACATTCATATGAAAGGCATCATTGCTCGTGCAGCAAATAAGGGCATCACTCTATCTGCAAGCGATGCTGCTTTGGATGTCGTCTTGTCAGAGTCCGACGACCCAGTAAGCACTATAGCACTCCTTGCTACTAAAATCCTTGCATGAAGAGGCCAGCTGGCTTTCTTATAACATACATACATACATAGGGAATGTTGCTATTTACACCGTTCATGTCCAATATTCTTTGCAGCATTATGGTGCAAGGCCAATCAGGAGGTGGTTGCAAAAGAATGTGATGACAAAGCTCTCTGAGATGCTTTTTAAAGGAGAAATTGATGCAGATACCGCTGTCATTATTGATGCTTGTGATGATAAGAAATGTCTGAAGTATGAAGTCGTGAAGAACGTGCCAACAAGCAAGGCACAGCGCCGTCGACTTGTTGTGGAGATTCCTAGCGACTTCGACAGTGACGATGATGATCCTATAGCGAAAAAATGAAGGGGATAGCCATATCATCTTCTGGGGAATAAAATTTCAAGCTTCTGCCATCACTCACGTGCTGGGAAATTAATCATTATCTATTTAGTAGAGTTAGGCTGCTATAAACTTGGTGAGAAATCCATGATAATAAATTGGACACACTTTATTATTACATCATGATATGGCATGAAAAATTCAAAATTGTCGTACACTTGAATATGAGTATATGACTTATATGCACCCTTTTTAGTATCGAATTCTTGATTAACCTAAATTTCATATGATGCAAATTTGACGTTTATTTTGGTTACACTAAATTAAATACTAATTGCTAATGGTATTTTTTTTCAACATAATGTAAAGTTTATAAGAGAGATTCTAGCACGAGGGTTGAGGTGGATTTCTTTCTCGGCACTAGAGGTTCGTTTCTTCGGATTTTAAAAGGGTATACGGTTTCAAGGAATAATCCATTCTAGCACACCGATAGGTGAAGTAAAAGTGCGGAGGCCTATGGGTGTCCATCCTTCCTACTCTAAATAGTGTTTAGCTCAATGGTAGTTAAGCCAAAGATTCAAATTGAGCGAACAAGACACTGATACCAATTGAAGTGACTATTTGGCCTCTATTTTCTACTAAACAAAATGTACGCAAGATTTCTATCTAAATATATGTGCAACTAGGTTTTGCTAAGTGTTGATATCTTTACCGTAAAAGAGTTTTCAATCCTATCAGTTACCTAGCAAGCTAAACTAGGAATGTAAAGCATAGGGATGTAAAGCACACAATCCAGGAAAGCAATGTAAGTGTGGAAGCTTAAATGAGATAAAATGCAAACTCATGTTGATGTTTTTTCCCGAGGTATTGAAAAGCTCACGCTTTCCTAGTCCTCGTTGGAGCTACTAAGTGCCAAGATCTGCCAAGCTCTCGGTCGGATAACCCTTAGAGGAAGGAGAGAAGGGCTTTCCCCAAACGCAAGGATAAAGGAGGACATCCACCAAAGTGGTCGTCTCCATATATAGGGCCTTCTCCTAGACCGCTCCTCTTCATCTTCGCTATCGTGTTTCCGGCCAAAATGCCACGAGTCACTCCTTCCCGAAGTACAACCTAGACGGCCACACCACAAATGTGGTTGGTGTGATCTTACAAGACTACAAAGCCTATAGTGTACTGTTGGTATAAGTAAAAGATCGCACATAAATCAACAAGCGCACAGATACTGAAGTGGCTTTCACCTTCCAAGGCTATTGAATCAATAGTGAATGTGTAAGTAAACTATTGTGGCACAGGTTCATCCAAGGACAACAAGAATAAGATAGGCGAGGGTAGAGAGGGGACTTATGGGATATGAACCTAAGATAAGGTAAGAACGAGCTCTAATCTCTTACTTAGGCACTCCACCTAGTATATTGGGTCGTGCCAACCTATAGCTCTATGACATACCTAAACCTAGAGGATTACAAAGGACGGACACGGCTATCACCACCTGCCGCCTACCTCTACAATCCATGGGGAACATGGCAGACAAAGGAAAACGATAGCCTAGACACCACGTCTATACTATAGATTACTCCTCTAACCTCGGCCAAAAGACTAGAGCACTCAATAAAGAGATGATCATGTAAGCAAATAGAGAACAATGCTTAGCTAGAGCTCAATTACCATATAGAATCTCGGTTGCACACTCAAAGGAGCCTACAGCCATCGAGGTACAAGTTGGAAAAGATGCCGACAAACCTAGCACTCCTCTAGAACTATCCCTCACTCTCTCTCTCTCTCTATATATATATACTAAGCACTAAAGTAGTGCTATGCCTTATAGCTAGTGGAGCTTGTGTTCCTCCTCTTGTGTGTCAAATGAGGGTGACATGCACCCCTTTTATAGGTGACAAGGACTCCAGGAGTGATGGCATGAAGACGGTGGTGGGAAAACTCCGTGGGAGTTTGGCCGAACTGCCATTGGGTCCTGGTTTGGTTGAACCATTGGATGTGCCTCCATTGATGTGGATGCTCCAGATGCACTCCCTGTTGTAATCCTGAGATACCTGGAATGATTAGGAAGATTCTTTTGTGTGGGAGGTTCGGTGGAACCGCCTTGGGGCCTAGGTTTAGCCATACCAAAGTTGTGGCTCTCAGGCCCATCTTTAGTGAGGTGGTTCCCGTATGGGCCATGGTCATGGATCTTATTGCGCCACCTTAAGTTAGGTAGTGTGGTTGTGGTTATGGGTCCCTAGATCCTTGTGTGTGCTTCTCATTGGCCCAAAATTGTATTTCTCCATATATATTTATTCTAGTTTGGCCAAAGTATACCTGCATACAAATATCTACCAACACTTGTGGAGATAATTATTGTTAAGTCCTATCTCTATGTTGGACGTGATTTTTTATTTCTTTTAATGCAAGAATTGATGGTTTATTTTAGGAGTTAAGGAACATCAACAAGACAAGTGATGGTGCGCGCAAGCACTGAGTGACAAGAGGTGTGCAAAGCTCACTAAACACTAAACCTAAGCCTATAGCAAAGTGCCAACTTGATGGTCTAACTAGCCTCAACATTTCGTAAAGCACTACACTAATCACCTAATATTTCCTTAAACACTTTTGGTGGCTAGAGCATTTGGAATGGAGCCTCAACTCACTAGCAACTTCAACAAACTCTAACAACCTTCAAATGGCTAGCCAAGGGGGTATATATAGCCTTCCCCATCAAATATAGTTGTTGGTGGCTTGTTGCTCTTAGGCAGAGAGCATAGGAAAGGTATAGTGCCTACCACCAGAGAATTTTAGTGGTGCCACATGGACAAGCCATTAGAGACTAACTATTGTGGATTGTTGGAGCTCCTTTCTTCTGTGCTTCCTATCAAGTGGTCACTAGAGGAATCTGATGGCTCCAAAACCTTCTACAAAAACTCTCAGTCCTAGGGTTGTCCTCTTAGTTTCTTTGGTGCTTTCCCTTGATCATCACCAGAGTTTTCTGGTGGTATTCAAATCCTTTTGTAGAGCTATTGCCCCAAGTGCAAGCATGGAGCCAGCCTAAGCTCCAATGCTGCCTTCATCACACCGCTAGAGTTTTTTGGTGAGTGTTGGTCAAAGCCATTTGTTTGATTTTGGTAGTTGAGTGACAACTAATGGACTAACCTTTTGCTAAGTGTTGATTAAGCTAGGTTAAGTCCACACCAAGATGATGAGCAAGTCTTGGAAATGGATGAAGGGTGATCAATCCAAATGGAGCAAGCTCACACTTGGAGAAGATGAAGAGATGGAAACAAGCCCGAAGGCAAAAGTATATGTTAGGTGTTTTGTTTTCACTAGCTGAGACATGAGACTGTGTGGTCAGGTTTATGATAGATAGTCATACTATCAAGAGGGGAACTCTAATGCTTAATCGGCTATCTAAGTGTCACTAGGTGTCAACTAACTTTGCATATGCATTGGACCTAGTGACAAGGTGAGGTGCAAGTGAAAATGTTTTTTAAAAACTAACTTTGTACCTAAGGTGAAGATGTTCATGTTGGAACATATTGGAGTTAGCGGATTTGGAATGCTTGCGAGTTTTGTGACTTAGTGTTGTCTTTCGGCATTCACCGGATTAGTCCGATGCCCCTAGGGGTGGTCACTGGATTATAGCGGTGTAGCAGGGGACTTAACAAAGGCTAGGGTTGGCCATTGGATTAGTTCGGTGGTTACCCTCTAACACGTGTCATACTATATGTAGGCACTATTCACAGAGGGGTTAGTTTCGACAGATTGACACAGTATGATCTGGTGCTAGGCACCAGACCAATCCAGTGGTGGTTTTACACATTTTGGACCCCTCTAGTGAGTGATTAGTTTGGTGTGAGGCCTACTGGTAGCACCGGATTATCCATCACACTAGCCTTAGGGCTGTAACGGCTAGTTTGACTTATGACTGTGCGCAGGGGTGCACCGGATTAGTCCAATGTGTGCCCTGAGTGGTACACCAGACTATGCACTACACAGTTTAAATCCTAGATTAAATCTGAGCTGTTGGATGCGATAGAAGTTAGTCTAGTGGTGCTAGTCTGGTGGGCATTGGATTAAATCTGAGCCGTTGGTTTGCTACTACTCACTTGCATTACTTTCATATCTTGTGCTTGTGTGTGGTAGTGGCTTGAGTAGCTCGCTTGAGTAGTATTAGTTGTTTAGTTAAATAACTAGTTTTAGTTGCATTGCTAGTTTATTTCTCTAGTATAGCTAGTAGCTCTTGTGTGTTGTTGTGGTATAGATTAGAAACCAATTATTGCTACTAGAATTGTGTAGTGGCTTGCTTGGCTGAGCTAGAGCTAGAGCAAGTAGTGACTATTAGGATTTGTTATTTTACTAGCAACATTGCTCTAGTGGTTGTGCTCTGTGTAAAAAAAAATTTATAGGTTATTCAACCCCACCCCCACACACTAACCATCTAGACCCTTTCAGCTGGATGGCTGACAGTCTGCACTGCATGCCGCCAGAGGTGAGTGAGTCGGAGCTCAGGATTGAGTGGGCAAGAGAGGAGGATGCCGAGAGAGAGAGAGAGAGAGAGGAGGAAAAAAGGAGAGAAAAGAAGGTTTATACCATGACAGGTGGGTCCCATCTAAATAAAGGGATGTGTTTTCTCAGTCTACTGCAGTAGCACTCCCCTAAAATCATAATGGAGATGCTCTAACTAGACTAGCAACAACTAGTTTCAATAAAACCCAAACCGGTAAGAATCTAGTTAGAATTACACTAGCAGCAACTGGTCCGAGCTAGACCTATTTGAAATCAGTCAGAACTTACGAAGTGTTTGGTTCGGTTATTTGTAACCCAAACGGATAACACCGTTAACCGATTCCATTAAATTTTGTTTGTTTCGGTGCTAGCCGTATTCGCTTCCCTTGTAATCAAATAACGCTATATATAAAGTTGTTACACCTCCCACCCTAGCATAATCAGATCGGTGGCTCAGATCACGACTGGATACTACAGTTACATGCTCAAACCAAACAAATCTCGTTTTGACTCATTCTCTTCCCATCCGCTCCGTGATATGATATCATTAGCGTTAGCGTTTGCAGAAGTGGAACCAAACACTACCTTAGTTCTATCTAGACTCCCAGCAACAATCATTCCAACCATACCCAGTTCCAACTAGGCAAGATATAGTTTTAACCAAATCAACAACTAGTTTCAACCACACCCAGTCGAACCAATTAGAATCTAGCTCCAACTAGACCCAGCAACCAATTCCAATCACATCCAGAACCCAATCAGACCTGTCAACCAATTCCAACCACATCGGCCATGTTCGCTTTTCTTATAATCCGTCTTTTTCAACTTGTTTTTTTTTTCCAGCCGGAACAGTGTTTTTCTCTCACAACAAATCAGCCGGAACAGTGTTTCGACTTGTTTTTTCAACGAAGCGAACGGGGCTATCCTGTTTGAACCCAGTCCAACCTGTTGTGAATTTGGTGACCATGCGACCCTTTCCTCATAGACAACATGCGTGGTGGCGAGCGTACAACCATTTGCTCCTTTTTCTAATGCAAAACCATTTCCCAGCATCTCCCCCACTGTTAAAATAATATATAATATCACTTTTATTACATAGTTTGTAGTTGTTTTGATGGTAGTTTTGGTTGATGCAGTAGGTTCACCCCATGTGTCTTTAGTTTTTTAATCATTTATTAGCTGATGTGGCAGGCTCGCCCAACATGTCTTTGGTCTTTTAGTCAAACTGTCTTTTATTGAACATTTGGGCTCCTAAATAATCTCAAATACAAAATATTTTCAAGTAGAAAGTTTTATATCTCTTCAGGCACTACAATTTAGTATAAAATATGTGTCCGTCCATGGTTATTTGAAAATTTAAAAAAGTTAAATTTCATAATTAGAGAACTTAAGATGAATATTTGGGTCTCTAAACAATCTCAAACAAAAAGATTTACAGCCACAAGGTTATAGATTGCACTGAGATCTATAACTTTGGTATAGACCACATCAATGTCCGAGGTCATTCAAGGTTGTTTGAAAAATAAAAAAAAAAAAAAAAAAAATCTAAGAACTTATAAACGAATATTAGGGCTTCTAAATGATATTAGGTAAAAGAAGTTGTCAAAACAGAGTTGTAGATCGTATTAGGAGCTACAACTTTGATATACCATGTCAATATCCTAGGTCATTTGAAAAAATAAAAAAAATAAATTTCAAAATGTTAAAACTTAAAACAAATGTTTGAGCCTCTAAAAAGATCTCAAATAAAAAAGTTGTTAACTATAAGTTGTAGATTGCATCGAGCTCTATAATTTTGATAAAAGTTAGTATTCATCCGACTTCATATGAAAAAATTGTAATCTTTTATATAAGAAAAATAGAGACCATGTGACATGTGGGCCCTACAACCACGCCAACAAAACCAACTAAGAAACCACTTTGAAATGATAAAGGGTGTATTTTATCGGGGTTTTGAGAATTGCGGAGAGTAAGTTGTTTGGTTTAAATTCAACAACGGATAAATTGGCAATTTATAGTTTTCCCTGAATTTTGGCAAAAAAAAATGTGACAATAGAATTTTGATATTTCTAATACTCCATCCAATAATTTTATTTATCAGTAATGTCCTCAACCCCGTCCTTTTTTCTCCCCGTGGAAGACATCAGCGCACCGAAGTCTTCCACAAATGGCGTCATCCTTTGCGCCATAGTGAAGACGAAGCCTTTGTTGCTTTCCCATTGAATATTATCTTGTCAGAATCATACAATCCGGTAAGTTTGTAAGGGCGTTCTCAACGGTAATAGTTGGTAGCTAGCGATTTAGAAACCACATCATTACATGGACCCTATAAATAAATATTTTTATATTTACTCGATCTCTGCAACTATTCTTCTCTCACCTAGGTACTGGGCACACAGATGGGAGATTCTGTCCGCGTCATCTCGTTTTGTGAGCGACTAACAACGAAGAACTCTCTAGCGAGAATGTTTTTACGATTTCTCTTGCCTTCATGTCGGATCGAGCTAGCGACGTCGCTCCTTGCTGGGGACGCCCTAAGGGCAGTTCCATCTCATGATTTGACTACTGTTTCACAATAAATAGGGAAAATGGGTTTTTTTTTCTATTTTATTTATTTCAGTTTGTTTGCTAATCAACCATGCTTCTCGTCTTGCAGATGTAAGGCACCAGGCTCAACTATCTCAACTGATGCCGGTATGCCACTGATGACAAGAAGACGCTGCAATATGAAGCGCAAAGAAACCTCCTTCGCCGCCGCAGCAAGAGCTGCAGGTAGTGGCTCCGCGAGGCAAGAAGCGTCTTCCAGTTTCTTAGCGACTTTGACTCGGACGACGTGGAGGTCGAGGTCGCTCCCATGGCGAAAAAGTCGAAGGTAAAGGTTGACCTCGGCTGCTTAGCAGCACTGGACAGGACTGTTATTAGCAAGGTATAGGATTCTGGGTTTTGGTAGAAGTGTTGCTCACTTTTCAGAATTCATATAGCACACCGCATGTCCCTGCAAGAAGTGTGATGGAAGCACACAGGTAAATGCACATAAGAGGGCATCTTTCCTTCGTTATTAGAGGTTGTTACGTTTAACAGGGTATGAATGGATCATTTGGAATAATGGATGCATTGTTCTGGGGTATCAAACAACAAATGGAATAATGGATGCATTGTTCTGGGTATCAAACAATTGTACAAAGAATTATCTGCCTTACATTGATAGCTCACCCAATGGTTTTGTAACGCCAACACCCCATGCATTGTGCACCGTTTTATCCTGATGTTTTATACATTTTGCAGCATTTTCCAGTGGAGGTCCACTGATCTGGTATGATAATGTTAGCTTGGTAAGCGAATGGAGCGGAGGTGAATGGGCACAAGCACCTAAGTCACAAAGAAGCCGGCGCCTCAGTGTCTGCTAAGCTAAAGTGCTGCGCTTTACGAATCAGGCAGTAAACTGTTAACTTAGTCAGTTGACTTGACCACGCCAGTCTTCACAACAGCCCGTGTGTGCACCAATCTGAAGTTGTGAACTGCTGCCCGGACTAAACTCCAGGTGACATACTCTGATGAAATCGTCCAGCTCTTCTGTTTCAATGAGCATTTGCTGTCACACGAGAATCCTTCTCATTCAAAACTCACCGCTCCAGGTGTTCAGATGTCAGTTTTGTTGAGACAATTATGACCTTATGGTTTATCCATGCTTGGAACCTCCATATGTGGCCCGTCAACTGAGACCGGCTGCTGATTATGGGCTCGAGGGGTGACAACATCTTCAGACAAGAAATCCATCTGGTCCCACTGCACTTCTTCTATTTTCCATGTTAAGAACTTCAAGCTGTAACAACAACTACGTAACAGAACAGATTATTTTAAACCAGCTTAATGAATGATTATCAAGGATACGTTCTGTTCTCCAAATATCAGTCATGCTAACATCCCCCTCTGTTAGGAGCCAGTAATCAGAATCCGTCTGCAAAATTTGTGTAGAATGGTAAGTCACTCAAGATAGCACAACCACCTACTTTATAACCTAGCAGGTTCTGTAAAGATTTGCATTCAGGTTCTAGTTAGTAAAACTCGGAAAAGCATATGAAAGATTCATATGTACATGCACATTGTTGTATTATTTTTTATATCAACTCTGCATTCTGAATATAATTTCAGATGGGGCACATTGTTAACAATAAGCTTTATGATCATGGCAAAGGAGGGAAAAGCTAAAATTCAACTTCACAATGATCTGACTTACTGGGACGTCTGGAGCAGTAAGCCTTGTCATCCCTCCAAAGTCATGCAAAGCACTAGGATCCTGGGGAATCTTCTGGCTGCGCTGTACATCATGTGCCACGTCCATTGGTGTGCTACTTTGTCCAGCATATGTTGTATTGGAATCTTCAGCAGGTTGATGTCTGGGCACATTTGAATGCTTGGCGGGTGTCGCAGCACCACCCAGTTCCTCAAATTTCTCATCAAATTGACTATCATTATAACAAATTTCTGATTAGCTAAGATTCTGTCCAAACAATTAACTTTACAGGAGAAATAAACCTTACCTAACTAAGTAAACATCTATGGGTCCCATCGTACTTCTTAATACAATTCTATATCTCCTTTGGAGATAATCACCCGCCTGTGCATGCAGCAGAAACACACAAGAACCATAAATTAGAACAGCAATTTATTTGTGTATGCAAAGCTCATTTATTTTAATGCTTCCTACCTCATCTGGATCTGGTACTTCAAGTGTAGTACCATGAGGTGCTTTAATCGCAATCAGTGTTTCATTCTGCACAAGCAACCATAAATGTTAACTACCAATCTACTATACATGTTGACTTCAAGAGAATTAATTTGGCCTAAAGCAACGGATAATCCATTTAATATGACATTGGAAAACCATTAAACTAAACCAGACCTGAAAGCTGGGTAATCCCTTGATATCGTCTTCAGTCACATAGATCCACCTAATAGACAAATGAAACATGGATGCAGTATTAAATAGTGACATACAAACAAACTGATGCAAAAGAAATATAGTTACCTTTGATTATTTTCATCTTCGGTTAACTCCCTTAATTTTTCACGCATGTCACTGAATGGGAAACAAAGCACTTGATTAGATAATGCTTTTGTTAAGAACTGTGACAGAGAGTAAGCAGAAATGTGCAATAGCTATCAACCTCATACGCTCATCTAGTGCTTGCTCCTGCAGACTAAGATTTTCAACTTCTGCCTGCAATGTGTTACAAAAAACTGAGCTTAGGTCTAGTTATTATCATACCTCTCGGGGGGGGGGAGTCAGTCAGTTATGTCAATTTCAATACAAAAATGAAAGTTTACAAAAGCAAATACCTGCAAAGCAGAAATACCGTTATCTAATTGAACACTTGAATCATCCAGGGCCCTATAGTGTCATGCGAGATTACAAGAGTTAGTGAGATAAGGTTGCATCATAGTACAGGAAAAGGGTCAAAGGAAGAAAGCTATGCTTACTTCCAGCGGATTCTATTCTTAAGTGTCTTCTCTATTAGTCCAATGCCTTCAAGGACATTGGTAATGTCATATATGCGCCGCTTTTGAACCTGAATTGTAGGAAAAGTCTGTGAGTGTGTACCAACTACCAAGTGGACTAAAAGAGATGACAGTTCAAAATGAAAACAATTTATAACCTCTAGTGTTTCTGCAGCATTATTTAAATCTAGAATGCCATCTGGAGCTTGCTTGAGTAAGTTAATGAACTTTTTTGTCAGAAGTCCTAAACAAGGATCAGAAAGGATGGATATAAGTAACAGCAAGCATTACTAAGGAAAGAGCAATGTAACCAATTTCAGAAAATATAAAGACGTAGACTGTTATGATCACCTAGTGAACTGTCATAGCGGCACGTGCCAACAGGAGTTGGTGGATTGAGTGGTGAACCTGTGCATAGAAAGATTTTCATATTTACCCTTTTCTTGTACATATGTAAAAAAAAAAAGAGTTCGAAACAAATGACCATGGCATATCATTCACCGACGTTTGCACTCACCAACATTTGACGTAGGTGTCTGAGGCCCAGTTTTACTGTTTTTAGCCTTTGCCTTAGAAGCTTTAACAGTTTTACCAGAGACCGGAGTGAGCATTGGACTGGTAATGATACAATCGCTTGACTCAGCAGTATCATTTTCTAGGGATCTGGCTTTCCTTTTTAGCTGTAGAAGAGAAACAGACTTGTTACACAGCTGTCATTAAGAATTGCAAACATCATCCAAAGAGGTTATCAATTAGCATCAATGACAATTAAAATATTAAGAATATGCGAAAATTATGATCTAGGAAACATACAAAGTACTAACACCATACGACCATCATTAGTGGATGTAGTCAACTTATAACCTAAAGTGTATAAAGGCTGTCATAACCCGAAGCCGGATTATTTTGTTTGTTTTTCAAAGTATTTATGTTACAGCTGCAACTAAGCATATCTGCAGTTTTGACCTAAAATAAGTGGCACAGGCGCACAGCAGTTCCGTGCGAACTATCCGACAAAAGAAACAAGCATGATTTGCCCACATACGTTACAAGCTTGCAGATTTCAACATCTTAAATAACAGTAACGCCATCAAGTTGTTTCCAGTGTATATAAGATGACCTATGCTTGCATTGACACGTGCTGGCTGGAAAAAAGGTATGAGGTATTTAACATCTACAATAAAAGAAACCATCCAAGTTCTCTTTCATTTGCTGATGCCATAGATAGGAAGTTTATAGCGCAGGAGCACACCTAAATGGTCGTACAATCAAGTCCTAAAAGGGCGTACCCAGTGCAGAGAGCTCCCGCTCTGTGCGGGGTCTGGGGAAGGGTGTACAATCAAGTCCTACAGCAAGCCAAATCCTACCTACAGCCACACAGCATGTAAGCTATTATGGCAATGATTAAGGGGAATATGTAGTAGCATCTGTTGACCAGAGTTCCCTCTATACCAGATCTTTTTGTGGGCTACATCTACATTATATAAATCGTTTCTGTTTCTGACATAAAACTTTCCCTCCATTTCTGAATCTCGCTGCAGGGACAACTGTGTGAGATAAATTGTTTTCTGATAAGGATCCCGGTTGCATAACAATTACAGTTCCCGCCTATCTGACACCATAACTGCGAGTACGGAGCATTTGAGCTTCGCCAGAGCAATGAAATTGGTCCGAATTTCACGCGTTTCTACTTATGACCGGTGTAGTTTAACCCAAATCCATATATATATAAACAACAGAAGACAGAAAATTCGACCAGCAATACGACTTGAAGCATGGGTCTCCAAACACTGTAAGCTGACCCCGGGAAGGGAAAACAAATCCAGAGGCCCAGGTGGAGCAGAAGCATCATCTCACCGGCGTACGTAGGACCACCCCCTCCTCGATAGTATCAGGAAGACCATCCCCGGCGCCGACGCCGCCTGAGGTGGCGGCGGGGCCCGTGGCCGCAGCCGGCATGGGGAAGCGGTGGTACTCATCTGGCGTGGCGAAGGGCGGCCGCGACGGCGTGGCGAAGGACAGCGGCGGGCGCAGCGACTGCAGGATCTTCTGGGCGGCCGGCGTCCTGCCGCTGCCAACCCCCGACATGGCCTGTGGTCTCCTCCCTCCCCGGACGGCGGTGACGCCGGATCTCTCGCGATCGTGCGGAGGGGACCGGGGGCCCCGGGAGCCGATCGAAGGCGGGGGAGACCGGGGAACTCGCCGGAGCTAGGGTTCCGGCGGGGCGGGCGGCGGGGACCTGCGAGGCTGGAGGCGGGCGGTGGGTGGGGTTAGCGAGGAGAGGAGGGAGGGAGGGAGGGGGAAAAGGGGAACAGAATTGAGGAGGGAGGGAAGAGAGAGAAGCAAGCAGAAAACGAGGGAGCGGGGGGAGGAGGGAAATGAAGTAGAGCAGCGTTTGGGAGCGGGCTGCAGATGGACATGGACCATGGAGGGAACAGCCGTCACCTTGGGCTGGATTTCTAATGGGCCAGACACTCGCTTTCGTTCTTGGGCTGCCCCGCGCTTCTTTTCGTTTTTCTTTTATTATTTTTATTACCTGGCACTTCGGGTTAACTTGCATTCGAACTCATGTAAGTCCAGCGAAATTTCCTAAAAAAAATTAAGTCCAGCGAAAAAATAAGAAAATAAATTATTTAGTATTTTTTTCTAAGATTTACTTCAAAAATTAACCATTAAAATTTCAAGAAAAACATTTTCTGTGCAGGATTTCTCTGGCAATTTTTTCACGCTATTAATTTTTCCGCAGCTCAAGGTTAGAAAGTAGTTGATGTATTGTTGAATGATGATGCGAGGAGTGTCGCAATTATTCCACGCTCCTGGAAATATGAAACAAAGCCAGTCAACTATTTCTGTCTCTTGCATAATGTATGCCAACCAGCGCTGCCAAAACCAGCTGGCGGTAATTCGTGGCTCCCACGAGGTGTTGATTGTGCCGTAGGCCGCAGCTCACACGAGAGAGATTGCGATACAAAAAGGACAGGAAGGAGCAAGGAGCAAGGCGGAGGAGAGAATTGATTATATGATTATTTAAATCATCAGCTTGCATCATATTATTTGAGCTCCTTGTTTGCTTGTAAGAACTCAGCCGTTTTGGGTGCTGTAACTTTGTAATAATGGACTGATTCTACGTTATGGTCCTGTTTCTACATTATCCATCTTGATCCGTTTCTTTTAGATGAAGCCTTCAAACCATAAATTCCTTCAGAATTCCCACGGGCCCAATGAAGCATATTAACTATCATTTATTAAAAAAAATCATCAGCTTGCTGACGAAACATACGGTGACGAAACATATGGATGGGATGGATGAGAACGCAAAGAACAATACTGCTTGTACTTTGTTTCAAGAAGAAGAAGAGAATAGAGTGACGTGGTTGAGATCGGGTATCGTTTTCAGATGTCTCGTCAACTATCTTTGACGTGTTTGGAGGAGATAGAATTAGTTCTCAGTTCAAACAATAGTCACTTAGCTAACTAAAAATAAGTTATTGTTCTTTTTTTGTGCAAATAACTAAAAAATCAATTGTTGTGTGTCTAGATGTCCGACTATGCGTGTTGGGCAGTGGCAGGGCTCAAGATTCTCGTAGAAGCATTCTGAATCTAAGGGGCTGTTTGGAAGACTTGATCGGTTCCTATTCTAGCAAGAAACGGTAGAATTTGTACCAGACGCGGAAAGTGAGATACATTTTAGGCATGAAACGATTCGTGTTTGCTTCTTTGGAACCCGAAATGCCGGAAGGCTGGTTTCCCATGGTTTATACTTTTGCTACTGTGTACTAATAATTATAGTTTTTTTAATTATAATCCTTTTCTAGTGCAACAGATTGAAATGGGTTATATTGAAGTTGTTCTTCACCCACAAAAAGTTTAGAATTTTTTTAAGCATAGTTCATTTATATGATTTTTTTATAAAAAAATCTTTCAGGAATCGGATTTAGGCTACCATCCAAACAGTTCATAAAGTGATTGTGATTCTTCACCCGAAATGTTTTCGAAGAGAATCTAGATCCGAAATATTTCTATGAGAATTTGGATTCCTACCAAACACACATTGTCTTCACAAACGTTTCTATAATAAATTAAAATCACTTTATGAAACAATTTGGTTAGTTTGCTAAATTCTTAAAACTAGAACTAGAATTAAGAGAAACGAGATTTTTTGTGTTTCTTTGACTAGTACAACAACAAGAATCGATTTCAAGTGATTCTCCCTGAAACATTTATCTTTTTTGGCATTTGGAAGGGATTCTTATGATTCTACCGAGAATCTGGAACGTTTATCGCTGCCAAAAGCACCCTTAGCTGCACACTAAGGGTTTGTTTGGTTGGGTTGTAAGCTGTGAAAGAACTGTTGTGGCCTATGAGCTATAGAGAAGCTACTTTTGAGCTTTGAGCTGTGAAAAGGTTGAAAGTCATTTGGTTGAAACAACAGTGATATTGTAGGTCTTGTTTATCTTCACTTTAATTCACCCCAATCCACATGTATTGGGTGGAAATTAGTTGATTTTCTATCCCAATCAACCTTAATACGTGTAGATTAGGGTGGATTAAAGTGCATGTTTGGATGGACTATAATTACATTTTGGCTACTAATTGTTAGTCCACATGATATACATAGATTATTAAAAAGTAGTGTGTGATGTAGTCATCCTCGTGATTGTTTCAACAAGTGCTCGGGGATATATAAAATGTTGATAATGTGAATGTGTATCTAGACTAGTTGGGTTGATAATTAATAATAATATAAGTTTAACTTATAACAACTCTAGAAGTTTATTTATTTTAGGATAAAAAGACTATTTGTTAGTAATACACGTACATATTATGATGTGTCCCGACCCTGACATTTTGAGCTCTAGCTTTGCCCTCTGAGGCCCTCAGACTAGTGTCCATTTACCATCATTAGCTTAGGGCACCATCAACAATACTACATCAGCTCTCTTAGCAGCACCACATCAACTTTTGAGGATAGAGACAATGCCACATCAGCTCTCTTAGCGGCGCCACATCAACTTTTGAGGATAGAGCAGGAAAGAAAGAGAAGAAAAACACTACTAAGGCCTTGTTTAGTTGGTCAAATTTTGAAAATTGGGCACTACTAAATGTATGGACTAATTAGGCTCAAAACGTTAGTCTCGTAATTTCCATAACACATTCTTCCACATGATTAGGCCCCACACATGTACACATTCCTTGCTTACCCATTATGTCTCTTTGCGATGGCGGCGTAAGGGAAGAGTGAGGCAGGATCCACCGCTGATGCAGGCTAGATGAAATGATGAAGCTTAGCCGCCAGTGCCACCACACCTGGCCTCTAGAGCAACCGGAAGGACTAGCACTACTACAGAAAAATCTTTTACACAACGTTTAGCTTTTGGGCTCGAAGGCAGTTGGCCTAGTTGCCCGCCTCAGTTATTTGAGGCAGAGCAGCCGAACCAGCAACCGCCTCGGTTCATCATTAACCAAGGCGGCTAACCTAACAGAACCGCCTCAGTTAATATATATTAACTAAGGCGGGCATCCTAACGCAATCGCCTTGGTAAATCATTAACCGAGATGGGCATTATAACTCAATCGCCTCGATAAATCAGGCCCAGCCCACTAGCCCAAGAGGCCCAGTTCTAGGCACACATATATATACCAGACTTTAGGGTTCCCTCCCCAGCCGCGTCAGGCGCGCCCGACGCCCCCCTCACTCCGGTCACGAATCTCTCCCTCAGCCATAGCCACACAAGTTAGAAAACGTCCCTTTCTCCTCTCTCCTAGGGCAGAGGTGACCACTCTCCTCTCTCTTTTTCTCTCTCTCTGGGGTGGCGGCGTGCGCAGGGCGGCTCCTTCCAGCGGTGGCGGTGGGGCCTCCCTCTTCCTCGCATGGCGTGGCGGTGGTGCGCCCTCCTCTCCCTATGCAACAATCAGCTACTCCTGGATGGCTGAAAAGGAGACAAGAAAATGCTACAACTAAAGACACGACGTCGCACATAGTAAAAGAGTAAGATCATATCGTGCCGAATGCCTTACCAGCGAGGCGCGCCTAGGCCCCGGCGGCGGCAAGCTCTGCCGCGGCCATTTCCCACTTCGCGGCGGCAATGGAGAGGTGCAGCCGGTCCGCCTCCCGGCTCTCCTTGCGGAGGGTGGAGGTGGCCATGTTTAGCTGCTCCAGCAACTCGAGGACATCATCCCCCGTCGTCGTCGGGAGGAGATATCCGAAGCGGGGATCAGCTCTCCGGTGGCGGCGCCACCAAGCTGCCCTCCCCGTCCCATCATGACATCGCACGAATGCGGGGACAAGCAGGGACAACCTCCGACGACTCTTCCATTGGGCGTTTTATTGCCCAATCTGCTATTGGATGAGATATGAAAGGTGGGGTGTCGAGGTGGAGTGCCGGACGAAGAAGATAGAATGAGAAGATAGGTAAGTGTAACGAGTTTAGAAAAGGAATCATGTACTTGCTTCCCCACCTTAGCCTCTGCTTTTATAGAAGGATGGGCGAGATAGGCGCCCGTTGGAGTTCCCTTTGATTGCACTGAGCTGAGAGCAAGAGTTAAGGCGAGGCCACATCTCGCACGATCTTAGTGGAGCATGCTTCTCCCAATAGAATTAATGGTGATGGAACGGTGTTGGAAGTTGAACGGAGAAAATTGACTCGACCATGTGGCTCGGCCCCTTTGGCACTAGTTTGGAGAAGCATGCGGTGCAAGCAGTTTACGCGGTTCACACGGTTTGGAGGATGACGATTGACTTTCTCGAGACGTTCAACATCCCCACGTCGCGGAACCTTCAAGAATAGAGTGCTCATAAAATCCCAAGAGAGTTTTTTGGAACTCACCTTGCTCCGCTCCGATCCCCCTCCCTAGTGCTCCGCTCTGCCGTGATGTCGCTCCCTGACCCGAGAATTCGTCTTTTGCCACCGCCTTCCATGGACAAGCTCTTGATGGAGGTGGTTGTTGAGATTGCTAGTCGTGTCGCTGTGGCTACAACGGATCCCATGGAAGATCTTTGTAGCCTGTGGGCAACCTGTTTGCAGATGCATAGGGTGTGTGGCGACGCCATAGTGGGACAGAGCATACCACTATGGCGGGTGCTGCTG